CCAAAACAAAATTAAAATCTGAAAGTCTCTAAAACATCATACCAAAAATAAGTGTTTTTAACTAAAAGTTACATTTGATGAGGCTTAGTCTCAGTGGTCACTATGAACTCATCATTTTATGGTTGGGTCATTCAGAATTACACAACTAGATCTTTCAAGTAAAACAGAACAAAACAAAAATCTTATTCCTCACCATTGAGTTGAACTTCCCACGGCAAACATTTGGCCTAGTGGGATAATTACATTATTAAAAAGAAGTCATGATGGTTTTATCCTTAACTGACTCATTGAACTCCCAAGAATACTCTTCTGTAGTTGGTGGCAGTATAAGCTGGAAGTCCAGGTTGAGCCACTTGGAGATTTAAAAAAAGGAACCCCGAGGGTATAGCAAGAATACCTCTCTTGCACAAGATTATAAAAATGAAGTCTCCTCAAAAACTAGGTTTGATGGCCAGATTTAAATCTGTACTGTAGAATTAAATATATTTTCATTTACCCTCTTCTCAGTTATCTGATTGGTTGCTCCCCTTGTGAGTTCTGAAATCAGTCAGCCTGGCTTCAAATCCCAACTTGATGTCTTGGCCAAGGTACTTACCTTTCAGTGATTCACTTGCCCTATCTACAAAATGGAAACACAGTAGCACCAAAGAGGATTCCTATTGCCCCTCTCCCTCTCCTAACCCTAACCCTAACCCTCCCTCACCCCTCATCTGTTATGGTATTGAACTCAGGGCCTGGGTGCTGTCTCTGAGGTTTTTTAAATTCTTTCTGCTCAAGGCTAGCACTCTATCACTTTGAGTCATAGTACCACTTCCCGTTTTCTGGTGGTTAATTGGAGATAAGAGTCTCATGGACTTTCCTGCCTGGGCTGGCTTCAAACCAAGATCCTCAGATCTCAGCCCCCTGAGTAGCTAGGATTACAGGCATGAGCCACCAACCACCCAGCCTGTTGCTTTCTTAATGTTGCAGTAAGATTAAATCTGCTGAACTTGGTGGCATATGTCTGTACTTCCAACATTTTGAAGGCTGAGGCAGAAGTATTGGAAGGAAAGAAGAGAAGGAAGGAAGAGAAGGAGGGAGGAAGGAAGGAAGAAGGAAGGAAGGAGGCAGGCAGGCAGAAAGGAAGGAAGGAAGGAGGGAAGGAAGGAAGGAAAGGAAGGAAGGAAGGAAGGAAGGAAGGAAGGAAGGAAGGAAAGAAGGAAGGAAGTTATTGTGTTTAACCACTGAGATTTTGGATTGTTAATTTTATTTAGAGGCTTATTTTTAACTCCAGTTCCTTCCACCCATCCAGGACTACAATTAAAAGCATGTAAACAGCTTAGGATTCCCCATTTACACCCTGAATGTAGAAGACTTGGGAGGAGCAGGCCTTGTGTGTGTGCTGACCACTAGGCTTCTGCATTGTCCATACCTCTTCCTGACATATATTTGGGACTTGGTCATTGTCTATGGCAGGATTAAGAAGTTTCCACTTTTTCTGCCCATGAAGAGGTATGTCCTAGTAGCAGGAACTTTGCCCTGAACCTGAATTCATTTCCTTTTTTTTGTTTTTGGCCATTCCTGGGGCTTGAACTCAGGTCCTGGGCACTGTCCCTTATCCCTGAGCTTCTTTGTGTTCAAGATAGCACTCTACCACTTGAGCCTCAATGACACTTCTGGCTCCAATAGTTTATTGGCGATAGAAGTCTCAAGGACTTGCCTGCCGGGGCCTGGCTGAGATCCTCATATCTCAGACTCCTAAGATTTATAAGCATCAGCCACTGTACTGGCTCTGAGTTCCTTTCTGCTTTCATAATATAGTCCTGGTTTTAGATTGTTTAGCTTAATTATACTAGAAGTTCTTGGGAATGAGACCTTCTTTTGTTTTTCTGGATCCTGTTTTAGATCTAAAACTTCTACAACAGATGTCTATTCCATGTTAGTTAACTATGATAAGCATCCTCAAGTTTTAATTTTAAAACTGAATTATCCAGCTGGGCTATGGCTCAAAGCCCAGTACTCTCCTCCCTTCCCCCCCAAAAAAAAAGATTATGTGATTATCTTATCACATAATCATGAGAAAAACGTTTGATGAAATTACATAAAACACCTTGTTACAATATCTGGTCCAAGTCTGTCTCTTTGGAGTTCAGAGTTTTTGCACACTCATGCCCAGCATGAGTGTAGGAACAGTTCAAGTTGGCAGAGTAATCATTAGTTTCCATGATGCCTATTTCCCTGGGAGTTCACTGAGGCCCCTTTGCCCTGTTGAACCGACAGATCCCTTATTTTCGGTTGAGCCCCTGCCTGCCTTGCCTTTACCAGGTGTGGGTGAGTCTGGAAGCAAGTCTCCTCTGACCTCCTCTCCAGCCTAGCGTCTCCATGGTGCCTCTCTCAGAGGAGTTTTCTTATGGCCCAGTCAAGAGGTCATCAGGTACCATTAGTACCATAATGAATGCTCTCATTGTAATCAACATATTTTAATTGTATAGAGTATCACAAAGAAGTTAATAGCGTTAGGGCCTAGTATTTTTTATGAGATCTGAATATACAACATGGCATTTAGTGTCTGCACACATTACTTTATTGTGCTAACTCAAGCCTTCCCATACTTGAGTGTAAAGTTTTCATGACTCAATGTGCAGGTTTTCAAAGGCTCCTGGCCACTTGCCCTATGGCCAAGTCACCCTGTAAGCAAGCGTTAAAGTATCTTCCGGCTTCCATCTACCTCACTTTATCCTGCAGTCCTTCCTGACACGCCTTTTTATCTCTACTGTCCAGCAAAGAGACCTGGTAATATCTGTTATTAAGCCTAAGGAGGTTAGGAACTAAAGTTAAACATGCTACTTGAAGGTACATTTGTGAATTCTCAGGAAAGCAGTTGCTGTGAATAGTTTGTTCTATGGTTCTGGCCACAGCAATGACAATAAAAGCCTCACCTCTCAGAGGTCCTGGAAACACCCACTTGCCATCTTGAAAGTGTTGAGCATTGTATTTTCACTCAAACCCAACTAGCTACACACAAAGGGTGTCTTTAAGGCCTAGTAAAGATAGCTACCACTGATGGTTTACCATGTAGCAGGCAGGGTGTTGTACATTGTATGTGTTTGTTTAATCATTGTTGCATTGTTGCAAAGCAGGTACTGTTATCACCCCTTGTGGAATAGATAAGGAAACTGAGGCTTATATGCCTTTAGGTAACTTGACCAGTATCAATTAGGATGGATTCAAAAGCAAAAAAAGCTCTGGACTTACATCAGAGCTTCTAAAGAGTCCATGAGTATTAAAGTCACTTAGGAAATCTTAGAACCATGCATTCTAAGCAACCAAATGATGACTGCACTTGTCTCCAGACCACACTTTGAGTAGCCACAAGAATACTTACTGCCTACCTAATGAGAGGTTTGGAAGATAAGCAAGCTTACTTTGTGATCTTAGGTGATTTCCTCATGGTCACAAGATGGCCACTGTGCTCCAAGCATCACATCTGCATGTGACTACGAACATGCTCATTCTTAGATACTGGGCACGTTGCCATTGCCAAATGAAGAAAACCATGAGGTGGTTAGAAATGGAGGTGGGAAAAGAAGAGGGTTAAAAAAAAAAGCTGATGGGTAAGTATTACATAGTATCTTCCAGAGCTAAGAAATAGGATAGCTAGGATTCAAAGCAATCTGTATCCAAAGTGATTATTACCTCTCTTATCTGATGAGTTAACCATAGATGAGGTGGCTTGGAATTATCTCCGAAGCCCAGTTTAGAATGTTTGACTATGTAACTACATATCTGTATCATTCTGAAGGAAAAGCAAGGTATGGTGGTACATTCCTGTAATCCCAGCACTTGAGAAAAAGCCTTTGAAGAGTTTAGAATTTGAAGAGTTTGGAGTCAGCCTGGCTATGTAGTGAGTTCAAGCCTAGCATAGACTATATAGGGTGGCCCTGTCTAAAAATTAAACTAAAAAATAAAAATAAAATGGGAGTGAGATAAAGATCCAACTAAGCAGTGTCTAGTTAAAAAGATCCTGTCTAAAATAGGCATCATGCCTAAGATAGGCTCATTCCTGTAATCTTAGCTAACTCAGAAGGCTGATATCTGAGGACTGCAGGCAGGAAAGTCCACGAGATTGTTATCTCCAATTAACTACCAGAAAACCAGAAGTGGTGCTGTGGCTCAAGTGGTAGAGTGCTAGCCTTGAGCTGAAGAGCTCAGATACAGTGTGCAGGCCCAGAGTTTCAAGCCCCATGACCAACCAAAAAATAAAAGGAGGAGGGGGAAGTGAAGGAGGAGGAGGAGGAGGAGAAGGAGGAAGAAGAAGAAGAAGAGGAGGAGGAGGAGGAGGAGAGGAGGAGGAGGAGGAGGAATAAGAAGAGGACGAGGAGAAAGAGGAGGAAGAGGAAGGAGGAGAAGAAGGAGAAGACTGAGCTCTGGGAATCATAATATGAAGCCAGCCCAGGCAGGAAAGTCCATGAGACTTATTTCCAATCAACCACGGAAATACTAGAAGTGGAGGTGTGGCTCAGGTGGTAGAGTGCTAGCTTTAACCAAATAAATAAATAAATAAGGGTCAGGAACAGGTTCCATGACCTGAGGACTGACACCCACACACAAAAAAAGAATGCATAGCTAGATGTCAATGGCTCACATCTGTATTTCTACTTGAGAGGCTGAGATTTGGAGGATCAAAATTCAAGGACAGCCCTGGAAGAAGAGTTCATGAGACTCCCTATTCAGAGAGCTGGACACAGTGGTGCATAATTGTTTAACTAAGACAGAAGCCTAACATAGGCAAATTCTGCCCAATCATGCACAGAAGATAAGATCCTATTTCAAAACTAACCAGCAAGAAATTGAGTGAGAGTTGTGGCTCAGTGGTAAGAGTGCCTACCTAGTAAAATAAAGCCCTGAGTTCAAACACTAGTATTCAGAGACAGAGACAGAGAGACAGAGACAGATGAGAGAGAGAAGGGACTATATGAAGATTTCTGATGGTTCATTCGTTTTCTTGTGATTTCTTTTAGATGTCTTGACAAAATTGAGTATCAGTGTCTGCAAAGCTGAATCAACTGAATCGAGGCCTGTAGACCCATGAAAGCCTGGTGCCCCAGAATAATACTGGCACTTGAGCATCATGTCTCTTTCTAACTGCAATGGTGAGTTTGGAAGATTTTTGCTCTTAAAGTTGGATGTCATTTTTCTTTTCTTTCTTTTCCTTTCATTTTATTACTACTTACTGTTTCTTTGCCTATTGAAAGTTTTCATTTGGGAAGAGCCAGGCTATTTTTTTTTATTCTTTTTGGTTGTGGGGCTTGAACTCAGGACCTAGGTTCTGTACCTGAGCTCTTTTTCTCAAGGCTAGCACTTTGAATCACAGCACCACTTCCAGTTTTCTGGTGGTTAATTGGAGATGAGAGTCTCATGGACTTTCCTGCCCTGGCTGGCTTCGAACCACAATCCTCAGATCTTAGCCTCCTGAGAGCAGTTAGGATTATAGGCATGAGCCACCAGTGCCCAGCTTTAAGCTGTTCTTAACAATAGATAAACTTCTTATTTGAAGGAACTGTTTTCATATTGTTACTGCTAACTGTAGATAATTTTCTTTGTCAATATAGTTTTTATAGTGTAAAAGTACATACCCTTTGTATGTATGTGTGTGTATATGTAAGTTTTAGAAATAACTCCTGAGGAGGGATAACATTTAAGGTGAAGACACTATAAATAGAAAAGTAGCTCACTGAATTGTAAACTGGCATTTCAAATGGAAAAAAAAAGTGTGTCTGTAAATGGAAGAGAATGTTTGCACAGGAGACCAACTGTTGTTTTTAAATTAACCTTGATGCTAGGATTTAACCCTTTGTTCCCAAGGAACATTTCTAACCATTTGAGATCAAAGGGAAAAACAGGCAATGCTTTGCAATTATTAGGTCATCTTGAATCTGAAAATTTTAAAATCTAAATCCAAACACAAAAGTCAAGACAAATCCTTTTGGGCCTGTTTTGTTTTGCTTTATTTATTTTATAAGCAAGTTACAGGATTTATAACCTATATATTGAAAGCAATATTGAAAGCTATAAATAAGAGAACTGTTAAAACATCTGCCTGATATAAAAATCCAAATGAATACACATATGCTTTTGTAATGCCAATAGGGAACTCAGGGAAGCTACAAATGTGTCTAAATTATGTACTTTTTATAGCTCTAAAAGAACATTATGACTTTGTGGCTTTATGCCTTCTTCCTCTTAAAATGCCATTTGTATGCATCCAGGTGTAGCTTTCTGTTAGTGACCTCGTTCCAGTTTGCCTCCAGGCTTGACTGGCTAAGAATGAATTCTGCAGATGCCAGACACTCCAAGCCCTTATCTCCCACAAAATATAGGGCCTAAGGCAAGACAAGAACAAATTCTAATTGTGTACCCATGGGCAAAAAAAAAAAAAAATGTGGACAACTGGGCACCGGTGACTTACGCCTATAATCCTAGCTACTCAGGAGGCTGAATTCTGAAGATCATGGTTCAAAAGCCAGCTGGGGCAGGAAAGTTCCTGAGACTCTTATCTCTAATAAAAACCCACTAGAAAACCAGAAGTGATGCTGTGGCTCAAGCCTTAGAGCGCTCACCTTGAGCTGAAGAGCGCAGGGATAGCACCCAAGCCCAGAGTTCAAGCCCCATAACCGACAAAAAAAAAAAAAAAAAAGTGAACAAAGCTACTGTAGTTCTAGAAACAGAAAATGGATTCCACCCAACTAAAATGTCAGGAGGAGTTAATAATTCAATAAAAGGATTTCTCCAAAGAAGAGTTTTCCTAGATACTCGAGGTTACTTAATTAATAAGGAGTAGCCTCTGAAAGATGTGCTTCTTTAGAGTTTTATTTGAGGACTGAGATATATTATATTATTTAACCAGTTGCTGGCTAAAAACTATATTCCAGACACTGTCCTGTGTTTCCTGGTGGTTTCCAATTTGGGGATGTAAGTTTTCAGAAGGAGAGAAAGGAGTAGAGCCTACTAGGGAAGCCAACTCCAGTAAGTAATTTTGAGAAGATTTCACCTTGCATCTGTTGTCTAGGCTAAGGCAGAGCAAGGATTATAAAATATGATGAGTAATTTATCATCCCAATATTTTGACAGTAAAAGGGAACCTTGTTAATAAATATGAAGGACAAACTGGATGGATAGTTCCCTAACTGTAAATTTGGTGTTCGGTCAGCAACATTAGCAAACTACTTAACTGACACAATTGGAGCTTTATTCCTTTGACTTTATCCCAACAAGGAGACTGGCTGGATTTCCATAAAATTACTCATGGGAGAAATAAGCACTAAACCTTATCAGTCACTTATATCTTCCCTGGGGGCAAATTTGGAGGGATCTGTAGCCAATCTGTAGAAGTCTACGTTGTTTTTGACTGAGTAAGGAAAAAGGAGTAGACAAAGAGGGAAGCTAGGGAAGTCTCAAGGGGTCCTTGGCCACTAAGTCCCACCTCAACCCAGAGAAGTGCTTATATGCCACCACAGGTGGCAGCCAAGCCATCTCAACCCCTAGAAGCTACACTCACCTCAGCCCAGGGGATACACATATTCCCAAAGGTCCCATTTCTAGTAGAACATAAGAACGAGCTCTAGTTACTTGCAAAGCCTCCTGCTCCAAATAAGGCAGCTTGGAAGCTCATGGGAGAAATGCCATTTTAATGAAGATGAGCATCTGCCTTCTCTTTACTTCATAGTACAATCCAGAGAAAGAGCACCAGGCTGACCACTGGGCTTCAATGGCCCCATCTCCCACTCATGGTCATGTGGGGGGAGAACTGGGTGAAGAACTTGAGTTAATCCTGCAAAGCATCGTATCTCACAAGAAAGATGATGGGATTGTTTTGCTATTTCTCAACTCTGTGCACTTTATAGCTCAGATTTAATCACTGTTTAACAAGAAGATCCATAGTTTTGAAAACAACCACAAAATAAATGAATGAATACATTGACCTATCCAGTCTGTAATTTGGACCATTTTTGACTACTAATTTACATCAACCCCATTCTTGCTTTTCACAACAACAGGTTATATAAGCAAGGTAACAGCCAGTGACCAATGACATTTTTTGAATATATAAATGAAGTGGAGGATGTCTCCAGAGAAGATTACAGGTTTTATGGAAAGGTGTTTTCAGAAATAAGGTCCTGAAATAGAACCTTACAATCTGAGCAGAAAAAAAAAAAAAAGGCTCCAGGATTCCTGGATACCAAGGTGTCCTTGCCCAAAGATTTGCAAGGGCAAAGGCTAAGAACCGGGACTTAGGCTCTAGTTAACCCCAGCAATGTTTTTTCCCCCAAAGCATAACCTTTTGTGGTGATGGAACCTGTTTATCTGTGCTGGCCAATGGCTTGCTTTAGCTCTTGGGATGTGGCTATTAGCCACTTGGGATATGGACAATTCAGCAGGAGAACAGAATTCTTACTTTTGCTGTAATTCATTTAAATTCAGTTAGCCCCATGCCACTAATGGTTATCTGATTGGACAACTTAAGTCTAATCACTAAAACAACAAAAGAAAAGCAATCTAAAAGATACCATCAATTTCAGGAAGAAATCTGACACGATAATGTCCAGTAACAATATTTTAATTTAGTCAAAAAAGTACAAATGTCCTGTTAGCTTCTCTTAATGTTTACAAGGGTATTTTAGGACATTCATGAGCTGGCCTTCCACCTTTTCCCATCTTCACCCATTACTTCCAGGACCTCATCTCCTACTTCTCTACCTTTACTTAGCGCCAGGTCTAATGACCCGCTTGCCATACTCCTACCTCAAGACCTTTGCCTTTGCTGTTCTTTCTTCCTCACCTGCTCTCTTCCTAGCTATATGTCTGGCTTTCTCCCTTCTTTTCCTTCAAACTAATGCTCAGACACTGGACACAAATAGTTCACTCCTGTAATCCTAGCTACTCAGGAGGCTGAGATGTGAAGATCAAGGTTTTAAGCCAGCCCCAACAGGAAAGTCTGTGAGATTCTTATCTCCAATTAGCCACTAAAAGGCTCAGAGTGGAGCTATGACTCAAGTGCTATAGCCCTGAGTTCAAGCCCCAATACTGGCACAAGCATAGGCACACACACACACACACACACACACACACACACACACACAATTAATGTTCAACTATTAATGCTCTCAATGAGACCATTCCTGACTACTGTATTTAGAATTGTAATGCCCACCCACTCCCACTTTTTATCTGTTCCCTGTTTTGTTTTTCTTTCTAGTGTTTTTCGCCTAATGCTTTAATACACTTCTAACATAGCTCACTTATTTGTCTATCTAGACGTGTGGACTCTATGAGGAAGGATTTTTTTTTGGCTTACTTCTGTAGTCAGTGGTATCATACATGTTTAACAACCCACTCTTCTAAGAGAGAGCACCTTGATTGATAGCATATTCAGATTTCTGTGATGTAGATAGTCAACTAGAGCCACTTTCAAACTATCAAGAAGACAATGTTGAACGTGGGACTGGGAAAATAGGTATACCACCAGCCTGCAGCCAAATCAGCTCCAGCACACCACTAACTGTAACACCAATCCCCAAAGCACTTCTGGTAAGAACAGAATAAATATTTACTAAAAGACTTACTTAACTGGGTCATCTGCTTAAATTTTTGATATACATGAGGGAAGTCTTGGAAACTGCACTCGGCATAGTGAAAACACACAAGTCAAGTGGCCTTTACAATGTAGGGGGCCAAAGGGTCATCTCTGTACTTTGTGACTTATAGAGAATAAAGAGCCCTTTCTTTTCCCCCAAAATCCCCGATCCTATGTTTCCAGTGTCTCAATTGGGTTTTGTTTAGAAGAAGAGAAAGAAGGTTGGGGAAAGGTAGTAGGAGAATGAACCATCACAGTAAGAATTTAGATATTCTCTGCTGTTCTGCTATCAGTCCAATGACTTTACTGACTCTAAGTCAATCAGTAACAAACAAGGAAATGTAGTCAAATAACCCCCATCCTCTAGTTACTACAACTGAGCCCACTTGTTCTGACCTTTGAGTATATTTCTCCACCCATTTTTTTTAAATCACACCACTTTCCAAGAATAAAAAATATATATCCCCATCAGTAGTAGATGCATGCGGAGACTTTGATCATGAAAGGAAAGGAGAGGTG